GTCATTGTTACGGCCTTGTCGTAGTAATCAGTTCAAACGTGTACCGTTTCTTTAAAAGATTATTTTCGGAGTGGTTTTGTCATGTTTTTAGTGATTTATTTATTGTTGTTTGTAATAATTTCTAATTACAAAAAAATACTGGTATACGTTAATTATTTCAATTATTTTATACACAATACACAACAATACCAATAATAGTGATTTCAATAAATTTTATTACAATTATCTCGTGTTTGATGGAATTTTGAACTACAGGATAGTTCATTCTGCGAGGCCCAGAAAAAAGAAAATTTAAACCTAAAAAAAGATGATTATCTTTTAACTTTTACTCTAACCACTTTTAAAAACAAGGAAAGATCCACTTCTTTCTGCTAAAAGGATTCTTTTAGTATTAATAAATTAATATTTATATTTTATTTGTTGAAAGAATCATTGCCTTATATACAAATTTAGATAACTATTGCTTATAAATGTTTAAATGGCGTAAAACTTGTAGCAATGTCAAGAATGGCTATTTTTTCTATCATGATCTATATTTTTATGTGAAAATTGACGTAATTAGTAATTGAACAACCGTGTAATAAAAGTAATTAAATAAACATGGTTTTAAACACAATGTTTGACAGTTTACAACTTAATTATCAAATTGAGTCAGCCATTTATTGTCAGTATTTAGATTGATCGGTCTGTAGTAATTTTTACTTTACAATATTTCGTTGTCAGAGCAATGGGAAGTATTATATAAATTTCATATAAAAACGAGTTCGCATGAGTATTCTTATTTGCGTGTTTGTATGCTTCTGCAATAATTAATATTTTGATGAATAGTATATATTTACTATCAACAAGCGCAGTCAATGACGTGCTGATGACCAGTTAGTATTATTTTTTGTTGCAAAAACTAAGTAACTCGAGTCATGTTTCTAATTACTATCCGTTTTTTACATATACTTTTCTGTTTTTTTAAATGTTTAGATTATTAGAATGTTTCTTAATTATATGCTGTGTTAAATATTTGTATTTCATTGGTTTTATCAATTACGAAACGTGATTGAATCTGAATTTGAATGTAGGTGTATGAATTATTTACATCTAGTAGTTATACTGTAATTAATGCGAAAGTTGGAAAGGCGCCTGTAAACGTATATTTTTGTAATGTGAAATAGTAATATTTTCTATTTTATGATAGTTTCAAGTTCTTTAATTTGTTTTTTTTTTGTATAAAAATCCGCAAGGCATCCGTAAAGTCTAAACAATCTTATTAACACATAATAGTAACCTACGAATTTTCAGTTTATTAATAATTGTACAAACTATATATACTTGCATCATTCATTTTTTTAAGTTTATGAGCAAAATTTCATGCTCATTATTACCAAATGAGTTGAATATTTTTATTAGGCAATTCCAACCTTTTAAATTCTAGAACCATGTTTGTAAATGTTAATTTCAGTATTTAGTTTAGCCAAAAATTCTAATTTGAAGTTTCCACCGTAGCTCGGAAACAGCTATCGTGCCTTTAAAAGCATTATCAATGTTTTTGATAATCGAAAATGAGTCAGTTTTCTCGTACAAAGTTTTTTCATTCATATTATACCAGCACTCAAATTAATTAATTTTTTATAAAATATGCAAAAATGATTAGAAGGTGCTGAAGCGTGAAGATTGCAAACTTTCTGATTTTCAAATTTAATTACTAAATTTACCTAGTTATATATTTCAAATCATTTACGAAATTTTAATACTATATATATTCTAGATTTTTTAACAGATCCAAATATCAGTTTCCATCAATAGACAAGAATATACAGGTATTGATTGATAAATAAATATTTATTTTACGTAAATCGCTATATAAAACGTTTCTTTGATTTTGTTGCAAATAGTAACAAGGAGATTTTAATGTTTTTCTATTAATTACATATTACAACAACTACATTGGTAAACCTGAATTATTGGAACCACTACTTTGCTGATATGAGAAACTCCATTAATGGATTTTTAACATCACATACTAAACTCTTTGCATATTAGCATATATTTTGCAATCTTCATAATTTGGTTTTGACCTTTTTTAAATTTATGTATATGGTACGATCCTAGATAGTGACATCCTGCATCCAGACTTGTTCATCTTTTTCTAATATGTTCCGGTTTATATACGCATTATTAATTATAGTCACTTACGGCCATACAATTCGCTGTTTAAAATATTTGTCGCCGGTATTTTGAAATAAGAATTACCATAATAGTCGATAATGTAGGTTAAAGATATGGGCAATGCTTATTAAACGTCTAGCATTTGTTTGAATATTTAAATGGCACGCAGTTTTCTAAACCGCTAATATATAAACAAATTAGTACTATTGGATGTGGGATTCAGGATTACCTAGATTATGCAGGAAACTGTGTGTTTTCTATGATATGTACGTATGCTAAAGAAACATAAAAAGTAAATATTTTGCACCGTTTTGAAAAGCTTTTAACGTGAATTTATAGCTTTACGAGTGCTTCTTATGGTTAATAAAATTTGTGTACTAAAGCTAAAACTCTTGATAAAATTACTCTGTTACAAGCGGTTATGGAAATATAGAACACCAGTAATAATGGATATTTCATTCATCTCTAAATTAGATTTTTATTCAACATATTTGCTTTCGACTATAGTCAAATTATGTTTATGGAAGTATTATGGCAAATATATTTGCTATAATACTTTTATAAACATAACTTTGTTGCAATTAAATTAAAAAGGATATTTCAATATATACGGGCTAAAGATGGGAATATGATTTTGATTATTTATGCACTTTATTGAATCATAAATAGTTCATAAATACTCTTGTTACTAAAACCTGTTACAGGGCTTTTCTCAATCACTTTCATTTTTACTGCACTATATAGCATCTGTTATTTTTTAACCAAGACTGCTTAATGTCTTTCAAGATGTCAATTTTATTTTTTAAACAATTTATGGATGGTAATTCCTAATAATTTTATAAGAAATGCAACACTGCATATCTATATAATATACGCTGCTTACTGGTTTGTCTGCCAGTAACCTTAGGCAATTCTTTGCACTTCTATTTGTTTTAATTAGCAAATTTCTATTCAAACTTGTTTACATAGAAATTGCCATTAAGATCCTTTCTGACACAAATCTATCGCATTTTCAAAGTAGTGATGGTGGAACAAGTCGCATTAATTTCTTTCGTTGCAAATAATTATAGATGATGCTTCTCAGATATCTATCTAATTGCAGGCATTTCTAATATATGCGATAAATTTGCAAAAAAACAAGTAATAAAGAACAAAAGTTGCGTAGATTGCTGATATTTTATTTTTTGAATACAAAGCTAGGAAGCTTGTTGTTCTTCTTTGAAATAATTATATGTATTTGTAACCACTTAAACTCAGTTGAAGTCGTTCGAGATCACTATTGCTTAGTGTAAAATATCCATACTCTTGCAGTTATGTTAATATATAAACTAAACCGTTATAAGTGTTCGAAAATAAAAATCACTACACTAATAATCGACTCTTAACATTTTTGTGAAATGGTGATCTTGCTTTTATGGCTCTGAATTTGAAACTATTAGTGCAGTCAATGGAGTTTTTAGTCAGATTTTTTTACTGTGAACCGATTTGCATAAAATTTTGGATTTTGGTTCAACGAAAGATCTTGCCCTCAACTTTCAAAGTAAAAATTCTTTCAATACTGCACCCACCCTGTGCAAAGTTGCCACCTCTTCTCGCTGGTGTAATTTTTTATAAAAACAACCTAGGATATAGATAAAAGGCCTAATTTTAAATAAAAAATGTTTTACAGTTCTCAAAATACCTAATACTTTTCAAATTGTTGGCAACTGAAATTTTGTTCAAGTTTTTCTTCGTTTTTATGCAAATATTTCTAAATATATGCATTTTACTGAAAATTTTGTGATGAACAAAATTGTAGCAGGTGAACACTGATTTTGAAGAAGTGTTCCTAATGTAAGATTAAGGTAGATATTAAAGATCAAAGCCGTTTTTTAGTTTGTTTGAAATTTAATCGATCTATTCAATATTATCTACCGGATAAAATTTTATGCATTCTAATGAAATAGTGTTTTATGAGCTTTAAAATGAATATAAGTCTTTTGTACGTAAATATTCCTACGTGCTTTTTACGGTTTTGTCTCTTAAATCAATGGATTTTGTAAGTGCCAGTTTCACCTAATTTAAAATTAATCGTATTCAGTCTAGGAGAGCGTAATGAATTTTAGCAGTTTGGCTGCTTTAGGACCCATATTTTTCAAACAAATTACGATTTTTAGAACACACGTTGCATATATCCATTTTGTAGTTATAAGTATGTACAGATATTACAGCTGTTCAAAGAATGAGATTATATCGCCAGCGAAAAAGTAAAAAAAATACAAGCAGTCAATTAATGTATGTTAATTTTAATTACATGAAGTTTTTCAAACACAATTACATGATGAGTGAAGTTGCAAAAACAATATTTATTTAGGCGTTGTTTAACATAATCCTTTGTGTGAACGAATATTATAAAATTTATTAATCAGCAATTACTTCATTTCTCCAATGAAGGTTCATTTCTAAATGCCATTTACAATGACAAACCGATCATGTCATATTTGAAATATGACTTTAATTACATTATTGTTTTCAAATATTATACATATTTTTAATGGTAATATAAATATATAATTTATAATTTATTATTATATAAACTGGTATGATGGTTGACACTAATAAATGTGTGCATCACGAGTGTTACCATATTACTAATAAACATTATTCAAAATTACATAACAGTAGCAAATAAGTTTTACTTCAATCGCGCGTGAACCTTACGTCCTTCTTATATCGCGAAATATAATAGGAATCTACATAATAAAATATCACTTTCGCTAATTAAAATCTGAGACGTAAGTAATAGAATGTTACAATACATTTTGTAAATGTAGGTTAAAATAACGAAAAATTCTATAAACTTACCGACTGAGTTCTGCTGAAACTAGATTACTGTGCGGGCTATATTTCATTGGATTCTTGTACATGGCACACAAAATTCGTTCCTTGCAGCCTGCGTCCCTGTGACCCAGCTTCTCTAACACGGCGTCAATCTTGGTCAGTATGGGCGAGTAGAAGGCGTCGTATTGCGTTAGGTCCGTAGTCTGATAGAAAATCAAAGAATAGAATGGCATTAGTTAATTTATTTGCTTTCCATTTCCCTGTCCTATAACATAAACGTTATAATGCAAACTAGGCAAAAGTGAGCTGAATGTTTTCTTCTAAAAAAATTTACCACGAATATTCCAGCATCGATTGTTGACTCTATTTTTCAATTTTATCATAAAAAAGCATATAATAAAGCAAATATTTGACTACCTTCGATGCCAATTATCTCCAAATATTAAGTTGCAAAAATGTTTATAAACAATACTTAAGTATTCGAAAAAAATAACCATCTATAATATATTGTTTTGAACGCAGTAATTGCGTGAGTCTGAATTCGAATTTTAGAATTTATTTGAAAGTTACTGTTAAATAATCATTTTTGTTATGTAGTAGAAAAGTAAAACCCTTATTTTTATTTAGCTATTTTGCTTTGATGTTGACAATATAATATGTAATAACCAGTAACTGTGTCGCCTGCACTTTTGTGCTCTCAGAATCGAGGTATTTTGTTTTAAAGGGAAATGACACAACTATTTTTTCATATTGGCATAAACTAGAACATCATACAAACTCTGTAGTCACTCGGCTTCTTGAGACACAAATTTCAAGAAGTCTGAAGAAGAAGCTGCCTAAAGATAATATTGAGGACCCTTAGAACTACCACAATTTAATATGAACAGAATTGTTGAATCACCCATTGAAGTGATTCTCTAACTATCAATATAATATTTATCACATTAAATTATATGTGTGTTTTAAAATGTGTGTGCATGTGTGTGAGTGAATGACATAAGCCAAATAGCTCAAAGAATTGTCATGTATTCTGATTACTATTGAAAGTAAAAAAAAGAAATTAAATGAAAAAATATTGGCATAGCCTCAAAATATCCTAAATATGTCTTGAAATTTGATAATACGTTGTTTTTATTTTTTGTTTTAGAAAATTGCAATCTAAATAAATAATGGTCAAAGATTTATACGAATGACGAATATATTCGTCAAATCATAAAAGTTAACTGGTTAAACCGTCTTAGCCTGATATGTATAGTACAGAAACTTTATTCGTAAGTTACAGTATGCTGTAAATTATTCTTTTTGACGTGCTTAATTATGTTTCTATTTTTTCGTTATTCATATAATTTTGATGTTAATAAACATTAAAATTCTATGTATGTCAATTTTTATTTATTCCAAAGTATACTTCGGAAATATTGAAACGTTCTCTCTTACATATTTCAATTTTGTCATTTACAAATTTATTAAAACTCATGCTATGTAAATTAAACTGCATATATATAGGTGCATATAACTGCACACGCGTGACTATATATCTATTAAATTTAAATTTAAATATTAAAATATTTTAAATTTAAAAATTAAAAATTTAAATATTAAAATATGTTAAAAAAATATGTATTTACCTGTGCAATTTGTTGGTTTAGCAGGTGCTGTTGTGCGAGTAGCTTTTGTTCATTTTGCAAACGCAGTTGCTCCGCCTGCAACTTTTGAGCTTCCTTAATTTGTGCCGCTCGTATCTGAAATAACATCATAATCAAAAATTTTGAAATATGTATATACATTGATACATACATGAAAATTACAATTCTTTTTAAAATTGTTATATATTGTTTATATTTCTGCCCAATAGTTTTATAGCGTTCAGTTAAATAACTAATAGGATGTATTAAATTCCAAACTTTTACGTTATGTTTGCGAAAAAAAAGACTTTTATGTTACGTTTGCGAGAAAACTGTAACCCCAAAAGGCGCATGAATTTTAACAAGATAGAGAAAGTCTCTTAAATTGGCCTTTAAGAGAAGAAAACTGTCGTTCAAAATTTTATTGGTTCAAAATTTAATCATCGAATATATAGAGAACAAACGCGAAAACCGTTTTCGTTTGAAATACATACTTTTTCAGTACATTTTATGTCTCACATGTTAATAACGTATTTTAAATATATACTATGCAAATATTACTAAAAAAAACTGCAATCAAAAAATTAATTCATAAGTGACCTAACTAATGAAGACAAAGATTCGAACACCAATTCGGATCAGTTTATAATTGACCAATCGCATGTTAATTTTAATTAACTATACGAGCAGCCATATGACCTTATATATCTTATTCAAGATATTCAGATTTCACCCATGTAGCATTATAAGAAAATCGTAATGTGAAAGTAGAGGGAAAAAGAAGTATAACCAACCATCACGTATTCTTACGACGTAGCTATCGGGAGAAAAACGGCAATGTTTGAAAATCCATAACAAAAGTATTTTCTTTACTTTAAATAACGTTTAATTATACGTTATTTAATTGACTTATAAGATGTATCATTAATTTTAAGTTAAATTCAACCGTTTTTTTATATAAAGGCCAACTGAAACTCTATCCTGGCAAACAATAAAAAATAAGGAATAAAAAAGTAAATCAAGTTAAAATAAAAGCAATTTTACAAGAGATACATTGAATGAATAGTTATTTTAACTTTGCTCACGGATTTTCATGATGGAATACCAGAACAAGGTTATATTTGTAACAAATGTGCTCATAAAATTTATATATTGCATTGGTTAAAAATTGAAGTTATTCAATTCGTGAAATTCCTTTAAAATTAAACATAAGACATTGGATCTGTTTGCCACCTGGCTGTCCCATTTTACCCCGCCAGTGGGGTAAAAAGAACCGATGACCAGAAGTAGCTAGGGGTTCTACTGAACATAGTCAGATAGTTCTTTGTTTGATATGTATGTGGTATTTGTTATGATGTAATTGGTTTGGTTTTCGCAATATAATTTCTCAAAGAAAAATAGGATCTTTGTGCCCTTCCACTACGATAGGTATATACAAAATGCCCGTAAACCTAGTATTACCTAAATTACTCAAAGAACATGCACTAGATATAAAGATTATACGCAACCATATTACAGTGACAAAGGTGACAATAAATTCAAAACAAAGCATAATTATATCAACCTGATGAGATATAATGCAGACATTTACATCCGATATTAAGGTAAAGCGACTCTAGATAGAAAGCGCTGATAGCAGTTAAATAAGTTTCTTGGCAGACGGTTACACTAGGCACCAGAAATGGCGTTAGATGTGGTCAGCACGTGAATGGCGGTAAATGTGAATTGCATCGTGACATTACAAGAAATACAAGTTATAAACATTGCGCATGATGACATAAGGCAACGTGTTAACATAAGACCTCAGCAGAAAACAGTAATAATTGACTATAGGATAGGGTCGAGCAGTGTTGCCATGTCTACAGTTTTGGTAATGATCTCAGTTTTGCAGTTTTGGCCTCGAAATCTACAGTTTTTTTTTGCTGAAGATACGAGCACTATTTATTTTTTTTATGTTGAACTTAATAGTTGTTCTACTAAGTCAATTTCTATAAAACTAATATTGTTGAACCAGAGATAATGTTCATCTATTATGTTATTAGATGTTCGAAGTAATAGATAGTCAATAGCTTACGCTTGCTGTCAATGCAACGTACAACTAGTGGCGCAATGAACCGTTTTCTTTTCCATTTCTCTCTCGTTAACGAGACAACATGAACCATTTTGTCGAAACTGAAAATAAATTTGAAAATCAACTGGTTAACTGGTTGTCCAACGAAATGAAAATTCTTTCATTCTAGTATATTTTTATGAACTTATCTTTTGTAGATTAAGATTTATGTTAATAATTCATTTCATATATATAATTATTCATAGCAATATTTATTTATTTAACTATCAGCTAGTCTTATATTGATTCGAAATTGCCTTCAATAATTATAACATAACATGATAAATATTACTTACATATAATTAATAAAATAAACAATATATCGATAAACACTTTGGAATAGTGTTTAGGATGACTATAATAAAATATAATAATGTTTGTTTGAGATATCAATTGAATATATCCTATACAAATTTCTTTAAAGAAAACCTTCAATGCTAAATTATGCAGATGGCCGAGCATACGCTCCTTGGAAAATCTGGCGCCATTGAGAATTACTAGTATTATAATCGCTTATTGTTAGGTAAAATATAATAAAACTTTACAGGATGATTATAATAATACTGTTTGTTAACTTTCCGTAGGGCATGCAGAACATAATCTTGGATTTAATGTTGCCTCACATCTGACTAATTGAGTAAAATCGGTGTGTCCGGATTCAAAAATTGCAGAACATTTGTCTATGAGCCCAACAAAAGCAATATTTGTTATAATAAATGTGACAGGAAAAACCTCTGAAAAAAACTTGATAAAAAAAAATTAAGAGAAAATGAATTTGCATTGCTGGTTGATGAGAGCACTCAGACATCAGGCATTTAGCTTTAATAACCAGGATAGTCAATGCAAATTATGAAGTAGGCTCAGCAAAAGCTTTGCGTACAAAAATTGTTGAATATTTTGAGATATTTTGAGAAAGAAATTCCATATAAAAAAATTATTAGGATTTGCGTCTGATGGTGCTAATGTCATGTTTGGCGCGAACAACTCATTGGTCACTTATTTGAAGAATGACATTCCAAATCTTTTCACAATGAAGTGTATATGCAATTCATTTGCGCTTTGTGCATCCCACGCATGTGAAAAATTACCGAGGGGTCTTGAAAATTTTTGCCGTGAAGTTTTCAACCATATTCAAAATTCATCTAAACGTATTGTTGATTTTAAAACTTTTCAGGCATTTACAAATATTAAACCGCATAAAATATTACACCCTGCCTAAACCAGATGGTTATCATTAAACGATGTTGTGAAGCGATTGTTGGAACAACTTCCAGCGATAAAATTATGTTTTCAATCTGCTGTCTTTAGGGATCGTCTTCTTTCTGCACAAAGTATATTGACAAAAGCCATGAAATCGACAACAGAATTATATTTGGAATTCCTGCGATTTGCTCCACCAATATTCGTGAATTTGAATAAAGAAATGCAGGCAGAAAAGCCAAAATATAGTACGTTTTATATGATCAGATATTTACAGTATATGCGACAATTTTGGAATGCTTTATTCAACCGAAATATTTGGAATGTTCAAAAGAAGAGTTGAATATGGTAAAAAATATTACAAATTCCAAACAACAAAAAGTATTAAGTGTGGATATAAACGATTTGCGAATGCATTTACCTTTATTAGAAATATATGTTGGAGGAATGATTTCAAATATAATTCGGGTGAAAAGGGAGTCTGAAGGATTGGACCATGATCGACTGCTGAATTTTTACACAAAATGTAAAGAGTTTTACATTGAGGCAGCAATCCAAATAAAGCAGAGAGTTCCTTTTCACGATAAAGAACGGCAAGCACTAAAATGTTTGCAGATGTTAAATCCACAAGTGATTTTGAATACTGATTTGAGAAAAAATTTCACATCAACTTCGGAAATGTTATATTATTTCCAAATATTTGCCCAAATAATATAACAGAGGTAGATAAAGAATGGAGGACTCTTAGAAATACGAATTTTGATTTCGAAGAGACTAAAACGCCCAGTACAGATCAATTTTGGAGACACGTATCAAAATTAAAAAAAGACGATGGCTATGGGATGTTTCCATTATTATCAATTTTAACAAGAAAACTTCTGTGTTTGCCGCACAGTACCGCGACATTGGAACGCTTGTTTTCAAGCATAAGTATCGTGAAAACAAAGCTAAGAAATAAATTATCAACAACGACTATTAAAGGCACTTTACACACAAAGTCAGAAATTGAAAATTGTTATGAATTCAGTGTGACAAGCAATCATTTAAGTAAGTTTAATCAGAAGATGTATGAGTTTCAAAATAAAGATGAAGCGGAACATCAAGAACACATTGACATTGAAAATGAGATATCGGAGAGTTAAAAATGAATCTCCTACAAGAATATTATTTTTCTAAAATTTTACAATTTCTAATTTTATATCAATAATATATCCTTATGACTCTTGATACTCTTATACATTTAATGTTATGAAAATGCATATTTATTTATTTTATATCATATATCTTTTTGACTCTTGATACTCTTATACAATTATGCTTATTTATCTATGTTATGAAAATGTATATTATGTTAATATTTAATAAAACTATGCTAATAACATGATTTTGCTAGTTTTTAATTACATTCACAAAAATATTATATTCATTACCATAATTTAATAATAAAAATATAAAACTAGCAATTTTCTACAGTTTTTTTTCTGGCGTATCTATAGTTTTTCTCTATGGCGAGCCTGGCAACACTGGGGTTGAGATGCATACATACTAATTCAGGTACAAATCAACCATGTCCGTTGTCTCTGTCCAAAAGTTATTGAAATTCTATGGTTAATTTAGGGATATTATATTAAAGTAAGTACGTAATGTCTTGCTCAATAGATCTTTTTTTTTCTTTTTTTCAAATAAAATATACTCATAGAAAAGCTTTGTCTAAAACGCGTGATAATTCCAAATGTTCATTCAAGTATGTTTCCGAACTCTTGCTTCGAAACGCACTTCCTTCTCTTCATTTTGGAAAAAAATCTGG